AGTTCTGCCAGTTTTTTTTAATGGGCATCGACACAGGCCGTGCTGACAACATGAAAGTATGCAAAGCTTCGTACAAGCAGTGAACATAACCTTTGAATATTTTGTCTTTGCCTCATTTGAATCATATTCTGGCCAGCCTTGTTCCTTCCTATATTACAAGTAGTCTTTCATGAAAAATAAAGAAAAAGGTTCTCTTTCTGTTTTTCTTTTGGTGTCTCTTTCTGTGCTTTGCATTGTTAACTTGCAAGAAGAGAAGCTGCTTGGGTAGAAGTTCTTCAAAAACCTGGGTTTTAGCAAGTCTGCCAAGGCACCTCACTAGTGAAACCAAGGGCAGCACTTACAACCAGTGATCTGAGAGCAGAGCCATTTCTGTCTGCCAGGTTCATCTTCCTTTCAAACTGCTCTGGCAGTTTCCCTTCGTCCCTCACAGGACGCTGCCGACAGCCCTGGTAAGTCTCCCCCGAACACCAAGAGCTGCTCTGCTCCTCCACTGAGCAACTGGGGCTCAGAGCACTCTGCGGCTATTGGCCCACCGTGCCTGTCCTCTGGGTTTATCTCAGCTCTACCCCCGGTTTTGTCACTGTATCCTTCAATCCCTTCTCTCCCCATAAAAGTGTCTAGCTGTCTCTTAAACTCACTTTACCATTTGCTTCTTTGACCTCACTTGGCAACTTATCCTTGTGTTTATTATTTGAGGTGGAATAGTTCTGGCTACATTCCTGGTTTTACTCTTAATTGTCTAATTTTTAGAATGGTGTCAGTGGGGTTGGGATTTGGGTTTGGGTTTTCTTTAACTCATTGCTCTTGTGAGCAGGTCTTCTGTTTCATTAGGCTCCTTCGTGTCATCAGGACTTCCAATAACTAAAAGAATCCTAATGAATCTTTTATTGGATCTTCCCAAATATTGCAGCTGGGCTTTCTTGTCCATTAGTGCCATTCTGAACCACATACATTGCCTTTAATTACATTTTTGTTAATTGGAGGGGAGGCAGGAGGGAGAAGAGGATTTTCCCCAAGCAAGGATTTTCCTGTCCTCTGGCAGCATACCTCTGCCTGATGGCTGCCTTTGTGTGCCCACCTCACGCTCGGTCCAGGCAGCTCTGAGGCGTGGGGCTGCGGACACCTTCTCGGAGCCCCTCGACTCACTCCAGAGCCTTGTCGAGCTTTTGGACAAGGTGCTGGGAGCAGCTTGCTTACCGTATTGGATTTGCTGTCAGGTCACAGTGGCGATGGAAAAAGACTGCACATGGCAGGGTTTTCTCAGTGCCTGCCTGGGGAAAGGGAAGGAGGAAGAAACACTGGTTTAAGGCACCTACCTGCATCTTCAGGAACTGTTCCCAGTTGCTGTAAGGTTGGTTGGTGGAACAGTGAAATGAATCCTACTGACATCCTGAAACAGATAGGCCTGGTTGGAGCGGCTTCTAAAATGAACAACTTGCCTAACCCACCACAAGAAGAGAAGCAAAGAGCTACTTCTTGGCAAGTCCCTCCCTTCCCTCACAGGAATCAGCGCTCATCCGAGGCACGGATTGCCCTCAGGTTGGTTGCCTAACTGCAGCAAGATAACGTCTTTGTTCTTCCTCTTTGGTCAGTACAGTCTGTACCGTTAAGGGATATGGCATGCATCAAAAGTACGGTCATGTGGCTACAATTTAGGCATGTTAGCTCTCATGTTTCCCTAAAGTAGAAGGGACACTTTGCTGGATTCACCTACCTTGAAAAAATTGGTCCAAGTGAACCCTTGAATCCCAGCTGACATCATCAGAGAGAGAAGAGATCACGTTCCATTTCTACCCAACACATCTTGTACATCAGAAAGTGACAAGAAAAAGTAGAAATGTTATCTATAGAATTCACATTCTCCATTCTGGGGGGGCTAGGGAAGCTACAGGACAGGAATAGTATGCCAATCACAGTTAGACATTAACCATCAGCCAAAATAACATCGGTCACTATTTTCAGTTTACGAACAGAGTGCAGAGGCATAAAAGACTTGCTCAATTAATCGTGAGACTGAAAATGTTCCAGAGAGCTAAGGATACTTGTAAGATATAATACAGTGCAGCCCCCTCATCTTTCATATGGAGGTCAAGCTCACAGAAACTCGGCCTGCTGAGCAGTTTCTGCTTGCTGCAAAATGAGGAATTGCATGCTGCAAGAACCAGCGTCTGGGGGCTGCTTCTGAGAAATTCATGTAGTAGAGCACTTCAAGAAAGGTGGCTTACCTTGCTGACAGAATCTTGAAAACAGGGAAATGAAAGGGAGAGACATAAAATGCCTCTCACAACAAAGACTGTAAAATAACTAGGAATAAAAATTTAAAAAATCTTGTAAACATTTACCATTGTCCTCACTGTACTCGGCAGGTTGGGGGATGTAACGATCATCAAACAGAGTGGCAATAAGCGCTTTCATTGAAAAAGTGGTGACAGCAAAAACAAAGGGACATGCTCTGTCACTCATCGACCCACGCTTCACTTTTTGTAGCCATCTACCGTTATTATTCGGCATGCAATTCACTAAGCGGCAAACCCATGGCTGTAGTTATTTACAGGTCACTGGCAGTCTGGCCTGTGCTGCAGTGCAGTTTTGGTTGTACTTCACAAAAGATAGTTTTATTTACGTTTGACTAACACAGGCACAACTGGAGGCTGATTTTTCTTTTTTTGGCTTTTAGTATAAACACTCGTGGCAGCTCTCTATTTTGGGTGCAGACTGAAAAAACAGATTGTTTTGCAGTTGCAGAAGACTGCTGGCTAAATCAGAGGACGTTGTTATTGCGACTGAACTTTTCTCTCAAGAAAGCAGGAGGAGTTGCTTTATTTTTTAATTCTGTGCAGTTTTATGTACACCATTCGTTCCAAATATTTGATGTTTGCCACACTTGTTATGAGTTTCTCCAGAGAGATGCTGTCTTTTGGCAGCAAAAGATAAAGTTGACTGATACAAATGAGTCACAGTACCCCAACAGTAATTAACAGTGATGCAATACCCATGCGAAAAAGAGGACTTGAAGAATTAACTGTTGAGTTTTCTTGACGATGCAGCTGCACTTTAAGAGAGAAAGCTCAACCCATCATAGAACTCCATTGTGTACATTAGAGAAAAAAGCTTGGCAAGATACATTAAAGATTTTTGCTAAAGAGATACAAATATTTTGCAAGGTCAAAGGGCGCTGAGGCAGGCTGTACTTACTTCCAAAGAAAAGTAGGCAGTATGACAAAGAAACAGTAATATTTTTTTATCTTCATTTTCACACTTCATCATCTAAGAAAGACTGTCTTTTTCAACCTGCTG